CCGATGACTCAGGTCGAAGTGGAGCTACCTGGTGGCAAGCTGCCTAGGGACGAGCTGCCTGGTGGCGAGCTACCTATGAGGAGTCGAGCTGCCTGGGAGGTGCCAAGCTGACCAAGTGCCGAGCTGCTTGGCGGCGAGCTGGATTGATGAGCTTCGTTACTCTTTAGAGACCTGCAAGGAACCAAATGTCAGAGGACCCGGGGTGGCTAACTCGGCGAGGTCGCTCCGATGCTTAAATCAATACTCTCATAGTAGACTACGAGCTAAAAATCACAAAGTATGAGAGCTAGAATTTGCTTACTTGCTTACTTGCCTCTGGGGTTGGTGCCTTTTTATAGGCATTGTTTGGCGTGGGCTTCACGCACCATATCCAAGATTTCTGCGAGGTCGTCAAAGTGGTTCGAGATACCTGGAGGTAACCGCCATGCACGTTGACCACCCTCCGGATCGTTCGGCATGTGGCCCAACTTCCAAGGATCGTGGGAGTGTTAGGATATGCATGCCAAATTTGTCAGTGAGCACGTCTCACAGGTCGCTAGGTCAGCCCCTGTGCCAGGTCGCGCCTAGGCTAGGCCTTCAGGTCGGCGCCTAGGCCAGGCCGCCCGGTCGCGCCTGTTCCAGGCTGTCAGGTCGCGCCAGAGCCAGGTCGCGCCAATGCCAAGCTGCTAGCTCGTGCCTGTGCCAAGCTTCCAACTCGTGCCTGTGCCAGGCTGCCAACTCGTGCCTGTGCCAGGCTGCCAACTCGTGCCTGTGCCAGGCTACCAGGTCGTGCCAGGGCTAGGTTGCCAAGTCGCGCCTGTGCCAAGTCACGCCCGTGCTAGGCCGCTAGGTGGAACACCATCAACTTGGCTAAGGCAAGTTGTTGCCAAAGTGGTTTTGGGTGTCACCTAGTTGTTGCCAAATCCGCCCTCATCAAAAGTTTAGATTAAAAAAGTTAAGAATTATTTAAATATTCTAACAAAATTATATAATATCTTTAAAATATTTATTAAAAATACAAAAAATAATTTTATATTTTTACAAAATATATCACAAAATTATGTACTAACAATTTAAATTATGTTTTTTTGGATTATCAATTTAAATGTTTTTCAAATATTTAATATAATGAAATATCCTTAAATAAATAAAATTTAAATAACAAAAATTTTTAAATAGTTTATAGATTATTTAAATATTTATCATAACTAGATTTTAAATAGTTAAAATAAAGGAATTATGTAATAAATTTAAAAAATCTAAAAAGTAGAAAATTAATTATAACATAATATTGTAAATAACTAATTTCACTTATATCAAGTAATAATTGGACAAAATAACTTTAAAAAAATTAATATTTATTACAAATAATTTTCAACTCTTAATTTGTATTTATTATATAATTATATATATTAAAATTAATATTTAATGTATTTCAGTAATTATTTATTGTTTTCGTTATAGATGTATTTTCAATGATTATGTATAAATTTATTTTGTTTTGTTATTTAACAAAAAAGTTCAATAATAATTGGAGATTAAACTACTATTATTGAAATTTTTAAATTTAATTTATTGTATTTTTGTTATAACTTATTGATTAATTAATAGTTATTAGAAATTAAACTATTCATTGACTAAGTTAATATATTTTTAGTACTTATTTATTTTTGTAATTTTTGTATTTTTTCATTACCAATATATTTTCAATAGTTGTGTATTTTCACTTAAATTTTCAATAATTATTGGAGATTAAACTATTGTTATTTATCAGAGATAAGACTATTAATTTAGCTAAAGTTATGAGTGTTCATGAGTTGGTTCAGTCTGGTCGTGAGCTATTTGGCCAACCAAATTGACCTGGTCAAGTTGGGGAGTTGGTTAGATGAAACCGACTAACCTTTTTGTGAAAATCGACCCACTCAAGTTGTATCGATTTGGGTCGGCTTTCACAAAAAGTCAGTCAGTTCAAAAGATTTAAACTTAAAAATTAAATTTAATTTTAAAAATTCCAGTGCAATTATTAAAAATAAATTTAAAAATTAGATTTATGAAATAAAACATTTTAAACTAAGAAATATGGGAATTTTTTCACTTTTTCATATTAAAAATTATATTTAAAATCTAAAATATTAATACAAAATTAATAATGAAATTATGTAATAATAGTATAAATTATGATTTTATGGATAATTAAATTCAATAAATAATTAATATTTTAAAATTTAAATATTTTACAAATTATTTTATTTAAATAACAAAATATTTAACATAACTAGATTTTAAATAGTTAAAAAAGAAATTATGTAATAAATTTAAAAAAATTCTGAAAAGTAGAAAAATAATTATAAGATAATATTGTAATTAATAATAATTTAATATTTTTACATAATATTCTAAATAACTATGTTCTATTGTATCAAGTAATAATTCGAGAAAATAGCTTTCAAATAAATTAACATTTACTAATAATAATTTTAAACTCTTAATATGTATTTATTATATAATTATATATATATTAAAATTAATATTCATTGTATTTCAGTAATTATTTATTGTTTTTTGTGATAGATGTATTTTCAATGATTATGTATAATTATTTTGTTTTCTTATTTAACAGAAAATTTTCAATAAATATTGGAGATTAAACTACTATTATTGAATTTTTTTAATTTAATTTATTGTACTTATTGTATTTCTGTTATAACTCATTGCTTAATTAATATTTATTAGAGATTAAACTATTATTTGAGATTATACTATTTATTGACTAAGTTAATATATTTTTAGTACTTATTATATTTTTGAAATTATTGTATGTTTTCATTACTAATATATTTTCAATAATTGTGTATTTTCGCTATAAATTTTCAATAATTATTGAAGATTAAACTATTGTTATTTATCAGAGGTAAGACTATTAGTTTAGCTACAATTATGGGTGTTCATGAGTTGGTTTGGTCCGGCCATAGGCTATTTGGCCAACCAAATTGACCTGGTCATGTTGGGGAGTTGGTCAGCTAAAATTGACTGACCTTTTTGTGAAAACCAATCCACTCAAGTTGTATCGGTTTGGGTTGGTTTTCACAAAAGGTCAGTCAGTTCAAAAGATTTAAACTGAAAAATTAAATTTATTTTTAAAAATTATAATACAATTATTAAAAAGTAAATTTAAAAATTAGATTTATGAAATAAAACATTTTAGACCAAGAAATATAGGAAATTTCTCACTTTTTTATATTAAAAATTATATTTAAAATATAAAATATTATATATATCCATGGTTAGGTTGTTCGATTTTTGTCGGTTTACAAATGGCCAAAGTGAAACTGATCCAACTTGGTCAAATTGGAAAATTTTTGAACCAAAGCTGACCTAAAATACTAGAAAACCGACCGACTCGGGTCGAGTTGATTGGGTTGGTTAGTTTCATTAGTTTGATGAATAAACCTAACTGAAATCAATTATTGTTATTTTTGTATTATAAAAAAATTATTAAAAGTAGTATATAAAATATGAATAGTTATAAATTATTTAAAAAGTTGAAAATATAAAACAATTGTATACTCTTATGTGTTTCTATTAGGGTCATTTACTAGAACACACCTTATAGTTTTATATATTTACTTAAACCTACCTTATAGTTTTCATTTTACTAAAACATCTCATATATTTTACAACTTATTTACTTAGTCAACATTTCATTAAGGATTGTTTGTTTTGCCATTAGGCCCATGATTTTTTATTCCAAAAATACATTTAACACTTTTTTATACAGAAAACAAAATTGGCCAAATATAGCCAATAGAGTGGTTGCCCGTGTCTTATTAAGGGTAGGAATGGTATTTTTATTTCTATTTTCTTTTGATTAAATTTATTTAAATGAACATTAGTGTCAACATTGTCATTTTCCACTATCATCTAATGGAAGATTGATTAAATACGTTGCAAATTATAAGTGGTATTTTAGTAAAATACTAACTATAAGGTAGATTTTAGTAAATCTATGAAACTATAAGGGTATTTTAGTAAATGACCCTTTCTATTATTTATCTTTCATTATTGCATGGGTCCCCGCTAGTTTTAAAATTAAAATTTGCTTTAGGTTCCTTCTTTCTAATAAAAGTTATCCCAATAATTAATATATTTCTCTAGTTTGAGCTGTCACATGTAACTCGTTTATTTGAGGTGTTCACAAGGCAAACAAGCCCCTTGATGTCAATTTATACTACGTAAATCCTAGGAAAAAGTTTCAATAATGAGAAATATGCCTTTAGCACATTCTGTTTGGCTTCAAATGGATGTGGATTTGAATTGAATCTTATGTGTCAGATTCATATTGAACTTGAATCATATCATTGGGGTTAGTGACAGGGTACAGCGCATGAGCTCAGTAGCACAAGAGAGCCTGCCTTGCCAGGGGAGCAGCCCATCGGCCCCATCATCCCCTTAACCCCCCCAACCCCAACCCTGGTGCTGGTGGGCTACACACAACTCATGTACCGAACACCCCCTATCCTATGTAACCCAGAAACAGAAACGTGCTTATTTATGCCAATGCCCATTAGCCCATTGCCATCAGCGGAAATAAGAAACCCTCATTGGAAAAGTGAGAAGTGAGTTGTGCGATTGTCCAATTCGTCTTCAAGAAGGAAAAGTCTAATATGGATACCCAAAAGACTGTCCTATCCAACTCCTTGGCTGGTTTTAGTTTTTGCTAATTCTTACTCTTCTTAAAAGAAATGAATGATATATGGATTGAAAGTGTGGTTCTGTACCCACATTGATTTTCCATCTCTTTTCTTATGTCTGATACTTGGCAGTGCAGTTAATTCTTCAGCTGTCTAGTTTCATTCACGACCAAAAAATGTCAGCATAATTGCACTTGCACGCCAGGTAGATGCTAGCGTATTTTTGGGGGTAACAGGAAACAACTGAAATATATATATATATATATATAAATACTACTTTTATTTTTTTTTTTTGGGGGGGGGGGGTCAATAGAAATAATTAGAACCAACTATCAAAATGAAAAATATTTGTTTTTCGGTAGTCAAAATGTGAAGGCCGCAACACAAGCTCCCCCCACTTTCACAACACAGGCATGACCTTTTATGGATGCTAATACTACAAGAAACAGCTAATTTATGCAACAAAAAATATGCTCAAAGCCAGACACACGAAAGATCAACCATTCCCTTGATCTCATGAAATTTCAGCAAAAATTGGTGTCCACTTGAAAAGGAAAAAGAGAGAAAATCTAAGAAATAATGCAAACAATGCAATCCTCTGATCTGTGTTTTACTCGCGGACTTTTTGAATTCCTACCCAACGGGCATAGTCCACCCACCTGTTCAAACAAAGCATCTCTGTTAGTGAGAAACTGCAAAAAAGAGCCTCAAATCGGTTGTGATGAAATTTCAGAAGTAAGATTTTCTTACATCAAAGACCCCAAGTATGTGTTGCCTGTCCGGACTGCAAAGCAGATTGCACTCAGTAAAAGCTTGTGGTGGTGTAACAAGGGTTCCAAAATCCGTTGTTCAATAACACCAGCCAGTACTTGGTACCTGTTGAACAAAAAATGTATATATAATCAGCTCTATAAACTACAACTACAAAGGAATCAACCACAAATCCATTATAACTGAGCATTTCCTGGAACCCAGACCATTCTTATGTCACGTGATGAATATGTACCCATACATATAGTGCCTGCTTCTGGCAGGCTTTAAACCAGCCACCTTCAGCTAGGAGTCTGTCATAGCTATGTCCTAGGACCATTAGCTTTGGAATCAAGTCCAATTGTGTTAGATCATAATCTGTACCTGATGCATATCCACATCCAGGTGCAGCTAAATTATATATTTGCCTATGCCTCTCTGGATGTACATGGACAGTCTTCAAGGCAGGAAATATATCCCCTTACAAGTTTACAATCATTTCTAATAATACACTGAAAAAATCCACCAATTAATGTTCCTTTTTACCCAATCTTATATGTGAATCATATCACATTGTGATCCTGGATGAAATTGCTACCCATACAGCAAGAATACGAGGTTTCTAGAACAAGGCCACATAGAATGATAAATGATTGGCAAAAGCTCTAACTACAGATGAAGGAAAACTGAAAATAAGGATTGCAAGATGACATAGCATAGATAAAACAAAGCAAACACAATGGCATTCTTCATACCTAAGGTTGCTAGAAACGGCCATATAAACACCATAGGCAACACTGGTTGATAATAAAGGGACATCCTCAGCTTCATCAGCAAAAGACTTGTCAACAGTCTTTCTTGCATTTATCAAGGCATTGGTTACACCTGTACCAACCTGGAAGAAAAATATTCAACTTTCATCATGTACTTGCATTTACACAATTCGAGCCTTAAATACCTTTTTATGATGTCAAAATGATCTAAAATTGGGAAAGATAAATAAAAAGGGTTGAACTTTGTAAGTCAAAGTGCTTTAAAGAACAAAATAATTATAGATAAGATTAAGGGAATTGTATCAATCTCAAATATCAGAAATGCACAGAAAGTTACAGCCATGTGTAATAGAGAAGCATTAATCACTCACTTTAGAAACAATATACTTTCCCCATGAATAAAATCCTGATCATGTCCAAAGAAGTTAACTTGAGAATCTAATGTAGGTAGAATAGTAATTGGATGAAGCCTCAACAACACAAACACACACATCAAAAATACCTTAGAATATATTAAAAGCAACAGAAACATGGAACTTAGGCCTTAATACAAAACAGAAAACATTCAAAGGACTTTTTCTAAATATTGGTTCCACAAAGAACACCCTAACAACATAACCATAAAGAAATGCCAACAAATATGAACCAAGGAGAGGTGGACTGGATACATATCTAACCTTAGGCATTCTTTTGCAGAAGTGGCTCCCCCAAAGATTTGAACCCATGTTCTCAATCTTATCACCCCAAGATTTTGTCATTGCTCCTAATTCTATGATAATCATCCAAAAGAAAAAGAATAAATGCTATTATGGATTCATTTGCAGGAGAGGGACTTCACAGACAAGAGCTGTATTCGTGTCCCCCCTCCATCTTCACCCCCAAAAAATAGGCTAGTGACTGGTATGTTTCTTTGGGGGGGGAGGATTGCCTTTTTTTTATTTTTCAGTAACAGTGAATTTTATTAATAAGAAGGAAAAGCTAAATTACAAGATAAGGAGCTAAAAAATCTTAACCTCCAGATACCCTATAAACCCGAATTCATGAAACAATTACAAAACAGCCCAAAACATTGAGTTTCTGTTCACCCCTTGCCTAGCTAGACCATCTGCCAGTGCATTAGCACTTCTCACTATCCATGTACAATGGATTTCAATATCCTTGGTGAGCCATTTGAATTTCCTCTTTTCGTTGCTGTATTTCCAGAGTGTAGAACTGTCCTCTTTTAGCCAATTTAATACAATTTCAGAATCTCCTTCTATGATCAGTTTTTTACAGTTCATTTCCTTGGCCTTTTGAATCCCTTCAAGAGCTCCTAGGATCTCAGCCCTCAGAGAATCACCCACCCCAATTGGATCAAAATACATAGTTAGCAGGTTCCCATTTTCATCCCTTATTACTCCCCCAACTCCGGAGGGCCCTGGATTACCCATGCTGCTGCCATCAAAATTCAGTTTGGTAAATCCCTGAGGTGGAGGTGTCCAACAGGAATTTGAGGTCTTCCTGATTGAGCTTAACTTCACAATCTCCTTCCACTTTCTGGCCATCTCATCAACTGAGAACACTGCAAACAGCTCCAAAGTTTTTAACCAGTGAATCACCCTAATGTGGATAGTTTCCAGAATTACTTCCAGGCTTCTCTCCTCAGCAGAAAATACCCTTAAATTTCTCTCCTCCCAAACAGTCCAACACACTGCAGCCCTACCACATCTCCACATGATTTTGGCCCTTTCAGTTAACCCGTTAGATGGAAGTAAATAAGCTTTGCACATCCGAAGGGGGAGTCCACCTGCAACCAAACAGAGAAGTAAACCATTCCCAAATGACTTTAACAAACTAGCAAGAAATTAATAAGTGATATCCAGACTCACCATCAAATTTACAAAGAACACACCAGTGAGGAAACAAGCAACTATTGGGTCTTTTCTTTGAAGTAGATCCCCTGTATTAACTCTTTCCAGAAAGGCTTCCCAACAGAAGCACCCAACCTTTGGAGGAATAGGTTGACACCATACTTCTTTAACAGGAAACGACATTCCAACAGGAGAAGGGGATAGAAGGGCCTTGAAGAAAGAGGCACAGGAATGGGAGCCCGAGGGAGTGAGTGTCCATATTCTACTATCTGACTTCGATGGCTCAATGAAGATCCCTTCCAGAATGGATAATAAGGTTGAAATGCAGGCTAACTCTGTGTCCCTGACATCTCTTCTCAAGTTCAAATTCCAACCGAACCCAGAAGGAGAATTAGAAGGAATGAGAAAGGAGGAAATTGGTTCATTTTTAAGGGTAGAGATAGCAAAGAAGCTTGGAAATTGATCTTTCAAAGAAGAGTTCCCAACCATACATATTCCCAAAATTTAATGAGGTTACTTGAGTGTAATTCATACCTGACCCAAGGATAGAACAAGGGAAAGATGGCTTGAATAGCTTTCCAAGGAGAAGCTCTTGTAGTCCTTGCTAAGATCCCAGAGTCCCATCCATTGCCTGCCAGCCCATGTATACTTTCCACTATCTTAACCAACAGTCTTTCTTTCTCCAATGAGAATCTCCACAGCCATTTCCCCAACAGTGTTAAGTTCCTAACCCTTATATTCCCAATTCCTAAACCCCCATCCTTCTTGCATCTACATACCACATCCCATCTGACCCTATGGTCCTTCTCCGCTCCTGGCTCTAAAAGAAAGTCTCTCATTAGTTTTTCCAGCCTACTAGCCACCTTAGCCGGAATCTTAAAAACTGAAAGGAAATAGACAGGAAGGTTGGCAAGAGTAGACCTTATCAAAGTGATCCTCCCACCAAGAGATAAATAATTCTTCTTCCAGTTGGCGAGTCTTTTTTCGAACCTCTCCACAACAGGGGCCCAAAATTCACCTTTCTGAGGATTATCTCCCAATGGTAAACCAAGGTAGTTTAAGGGCCAATTGGAAACTACACACCCCAGAATGTTTCCACATTCACAAACCTCCACCTCGCCCATATTGACTCCAATTATACAACTCTTCTCAAAATTTACTCTAAGGTTTTGACATTTGCTTGAAGAGTTGTATGGTGAGCTTCAGGTTTCTAATCCTATTGATGTCCCCTCCTTCACAAAATAGAATTGTGTCATCTGCAAATTGAATTCAAGAAGGTCTGATATGCCCTCATCCTTTCTTTTTGTTTCATACTTCACTTTTCTTCTCTAATACAATTTCCTGATCAATGCTGATAAAAAAAAATCCTGATCAAATACCAGTAAAAAATACAAAAGCTAAAACAAAATTTATATTCCTATCCTATTTTCCTTCTCCGCATTCTTTAGTCTCAATACAGAAACAATATAAATATGTACAGTGTAAATACATACAAAATACTAAGTTTTGTATCCTACATATTTGTATTTGTACTCATTCCAAACTGATCCTTATGTTTCCGTTTTTACAAGCTAATATGCTTCAAAACTTAAAAACATTATGAAAAGTCAACAGTAAAAAAAATTAATAGGACAAAGGATAAAAGCCTCACAGAAGAATATATCAGTTTCCAGAGGTTAAAACCACATAAAAGGTTTAATCTAAATCAAAGGGTCTCCTAAGAAAACTGATATACCAGAGATGCGCCGGTTCCAACTGCAAAAAGCTTGGCTCCATTACGCTGCACAAAAGATCCAATACCACAAGTTAAGACGATGCATTTGGAAATGATATTTTAAATATCTGTGATTTAATTCAATTAATACATTTTTCAAAAAGAAATCAGTAAAGTATATATCAACAATACCATTATGGCTCCTATTCTCTGTAAAAATGAATAGGATGTTCCAGCCAATGCAACCTGCAGACATGATTCCAATATCAAGTAACTGTATAAGAAACAGCTACTAATTCAATGACTTACTCCCCCCCCCAAAAAAAAAAAAAAAAAAAAAAAAAAATAAAGAAAAGATATCTAAATAAAAAAACAGTAACCTGAAAGGCATTATCAGGACAGCTGTGGAAGAACTTAGCAATAGATCCAGCACTGACTGAAAGAGGTGGCCGAAGAGAAACTGTGGGAGCAGGAAGCCAGACAAGCATAAAATCTGCAATTATGGCCATAAACTAAGAAACAAATTGCATTAGCTAGATAAATAAACCAGTTTTTTATCAATAATATTAACAAATAAATCAGTTCAGAAAATATCATTTCAACTAATGAACAAAACCCAGAACAATTATCAAGATAAGGGCTTTTTGTATGCATACAAATCTGTATGTTTTGGACTATTTGTATTTATTCCCCATTATTTTTTCAGATTCTGTATTTATACCTCCAAGTCATTAGGTTAATCATGCCAGCAAGGCTGCACCATGTACACTCTGTTTGTCAACTCCTTTTCCCAATTACAGTTCCAATGTTCCATAATTTTTTGCTTCCGCAGTTAGGGGGTCAAATTTTGTCTCATCATTGTGATGTTTGGTATCATTAAAAATGTTATTCCATAACCAATTAACAAAACTAAGATCTCGCATATTCCATGTGATTTGCAATTTTCAGAAGCTATAGCCACTTTACTAGAGACAGGATTGGGGTTTTCACAAAATTTATTTTAATTAAACCTTCTTTATGTACTTTCTTGGTTATTCAGAGTTAAATTGATGAATAAAGTCATGTTCTAATCAATATATTGAGATTTCCAATTAATGGTAAGGCGATGTATACATCTTCCTCTTCTTTGCCAATTTTTTCTTTTTTTCCTTCATCCCCAATTTCCCACCCCAAGGTTCCATATAATCCACCCCTACACTTCAGTCACCAAATTTCAATTCCTTAAAACCAAATCAGCCCTTTATAGAATCCCAAATACATAGCCAAAAATCTACCTACATATTCTTATATTCCCAAATTCCATTACATATAGATAACCATATCATGAGCACTCTTACTAAGTAAGCTATGGTCACTTTACAGTGTTTATTACTCATTAGCTTGAAAAAAAAAAAAAAAGAAAGTCAGGCAACAAAAATATTTTGAATCTTTTCTATCTTCACTCAAATGAATGAGAAACATGGTAGGACCCCCATGGCTTACTCAATGAGAGCACACTTGTCTGATTGACACTCTTACATACAAGTGATCCACATTTTTTTATATAAACAAAAAGACAATCATATTTTGACGTTTTAAACTGCAAAGGACCAAAATAACCAGAATCTGACACTGTGGTAATATTCAATGAGGTAATAACTATAGAAGTAGATTTTTGTATTAAGGGTACAAATGTGAAAGACCTATTGATGTAAGGGAATAAATAGAGAACTAGAAAACACAGGCTTCCCCCCTTGTAATTTTTCTTTTCTGCCGTTTGAGTTCTCTTTCCTCTGTGTAGTACTTCTGCTCATGTACTTCCGTTTTTTTCTAATCAAATCTGGTTAACTTTTTCTMAAAAAAAAAAAAAAAAAACAAAGAAGAAGAAGAAAACACAGGCATCTAATACAATCAATTATCTATTCTACCAATGAAAGCAGACAAGTAAATTGTCATCCAAGAAAATTAACCTATTTCACACACTTCCTTGTGGAAGTCGGGTTATTGTAATAGACATTCTTCTAATACAGGACCTACCCCTCTAAATTAATTTAATAAACTTATATATGTCCTCTGCTATACAAGCATAATAATATTCCTGTAAGAACTTTTCAAGTGTCCAACAAAGTCCAGCATAAACATAACCAAACAAATTTTAAATTAAGAATTCATTTTCCTGTTAAGAAAAGGGCATACCACATCAGCTAAGACAAAATCCAACTCCTTCATAAAATTCTCTCTACGTCGGTCATACTCTGCAGCAGTCTGGAGTCATAACTCAAACAGATTATGATTTTATAATTGGAGGAACTTTAAGAATAAAATACCAGTAAAAAAAGAAGTCAAACAAAGAACACAAAATGATAACAGAAAACTAATTAATAAAATGCATTAATAGGCTTACATTTTAGAGCAAAATAATTATGGCACAGTCAACCTCATAAAAGGTACATAAAGCTAAGCTTAACAAGTGACAAAGGCCATTATCCAATGTTGGTCCCAGCACCCAGCTATCAGGGGTCTTGGGAGGGGTAGACTGGATATGGTCCTAACCTACACCAAGTAATGGCCCATAAGACTATAAATATACTAATCCTTATGAAAGTCATCATCATCTAAGCCTTGTCCCAACTATATGGAATTGGATAGCTATCTATATGAAGGTTAGGGAGAACTCTTTTGCAGTTAGAAGATTTAGAAAGAAGAGTAAGCACCAAGACGTTTTGCTAGATTGAAAAGGAGTCTTTGTGGGATTGGACCACACAAGAGGCTATTGAAACCTTGGAGGATTCTAAGGAAGAAGAGAGTTCTTGGTCTGGTTTTTTAGGTTTTGATGGCTTCTTTGACTCATTGGCTCTTTTTAAGGACTAGGGTTATAGGTGCATTTTCAAATTCTGGTTTGGAGGTATCTCTCTTGCTTTGAGCCAGTCTTGGGTGGTGAGTTGTTTTTTTTTTCCTTTTCTCAGTTTGTTTGTGGTCATGTCAGATAGGGTTGGTGGATTTGGACTTTTGTTTTGTTTTGTTTTTTCTCTTTTTCACCTTCCAGGCTTCCTTGTATCCTTTCTTTTTTGTCTATTAATAATTTTTATTTTATTACCAAAAAACTGGAGCATATCAGTCAGCGAGCAAAAGTCCATGCTTGAAAACCAATAAACATAAAATCTAAGTTGAAAAGAAAATGATTAGGTGTCTTCAAGACATAATTTAGTCCAAAATAACTTCACAATTAAGCAACAAAGCATCCAAAAGAAATGACATTCAAGCAACAACACAAGGCTAAGCTCATTCACCGGAAATTTTCATTCTCATCAGTTAAAATTACATATTTTAAACTTAAATTTAGACCAATAAACAAATAGTGACAAGGAAAAAAAATAAGTTGTTCAATAAACACTATTGAGAATACTTATGAATAGGAGGCATCAGTTTCACAGGTCAACTTTGGAAGAAGTGAAGACTGATGAAACACTATAACAACAAAGCATGCTCAACACTATACTCAAAATTCTACCTAGCAAGTTGACCTTTTTTTCAGAAGCCTGTTGACCAAATTAAATTGTAAAACATTCTTTCCATTGCCTATTTCAGCAATGAAGATTTATCAATACATAAGAACTTTTTTTGAAACCTACATAAGAACATATATACAGGATAGCAAAATCATCAATAATATGGCAATAGTTGCTTCAATTCCCACTTACTGAAAGCCTAAGCCTATTATAAGTGTGAAAATGGATATACAAGCATCATATATTTGCCACTTTATTAAAAAAAGGCTATTTTTCTGGTATCAGCTTAAGATGGTTGCAAGTTTCATTCTCCTTCTGTAATAGTATCCAAGTTGCAGTCAGGACAAGAACATCTTCATGGTATAAATAGAAATCCTTCATTGGGATTCCACAAACAACAGTCGATAATCTTGACCACAGAAAATAATAGAAAACCAAATGCAACCAAGTACATAAGCCTGACATATTTCACATATTTCATGCATTGCAATTATATTTCCTAAAACAAAGAACCTACTCTTATTGGTACCCGGGTGCAATTGAAGTTAAAGAACTGTCCATAAATGAAAAATATTTCAGAAAATTCAAGGATACCCCACATACATTCTTGGTAATCAAATACTAGTACCCCAAAGCATAGAACATTTGACCCCACCACCAGTTTCATTACATTATTCCATTTATTATCAGATTCAACAAGCAACTCAATTTTCCAGTTCCTTAAGGCTCCATTTGTTAATTTAAATAGGCTGAAAAGTTCTCAATTTGTAAAAATTGCAATTACTTTTATGCCTCTTCTAAAGCCGAAACCTTAGTTTAATCCATTTTTGCATGAAAACAAGCTCAGCCTAATCTGATTTTCCCCATTACAATTTGACTCCAAGACTTCTGTCAGCACAAGCATCCCCCTTATAAGAATGAACCAGTTAGAAGCTCAAAATAGTACTTTCATTGAAAAGCTAAACTTTCAAAACCAAGAAGAAGAAAGAAGCTTCAGAAATCTACTTCCAAATTAAGAAATTACCATTCGTACAGGATGACCCATAAAACAGCCACTACATTAGACGCATTACTGGTTCACAAGATTATTTAAAGGAACCCATATGGTAAGCATTTATGATCAACCAACCAGTTTATTAAAAAAACATAGAAATAAGGAATCTAGCAGAAGAAGAACACCAGCCTTAGTGAAAATGCCAACGCCGCACTCCATGGTGACCTTAGCCAAGAAAAGATCATCAGCCAACAACCGTTCCTTAAACCCCCCAAACTGAAGCAACCACCGAAATACCGGTGACTTCTCCAGATCAAAGTAGCGAAAAACGATCTCTCCAGGAATCCTTCCAGCCTCAATCGCCGAAGCCAGATCCGACGGAATACTATCCAAAGGCCTCCCAATCTCTGCTAGCGCCAAAATCGCCTCCGTCTTGTTCTTGTCGCCGGAATCTCCTCCTTCACCATGACCACCACCTCCTCCGCCACCACCACTGCAGTTCCCGCCATTTCCACCATTGCCACCGTTACCGCCCGAGAAAACTAAAACCATAGGCTTCCGACTCTGTTTCACCTGCCACGTCAACGGGAAGCCGGAGACGGCTGCATTGGTGGCAGTGGCAGCGATGCGGGGGGTAGTGAAAGGAGAACCATAGGATGAACGGTGGTTATTGAGCTTGGGGAAACCAACAGAGCGTGCCGGATTGAGCGTGGCGGAGATCGCCATGGCCGTCTCGTTCGATTGGTGGTATCGCTGTTATTCTCACTCGCCCAAACAGAGTTTGAGAGAGAGAGAGAGACTGCGTTTGGAGGTGTTGTTACTTCGGTGGTTGGAGGGCGAAGAAAACAGTGAGAGAAGAAGAGAAGAAATTGCGAACTACAAAAAGCACGCGCGCAGTTGCCAGTTGGGTTTCTTTGGGTTCCTGTTGGTTTTTCGGGTTAGGTCTTCGTCTTGGAGTCAACAGGCTAACACAGCGCCGTCGGATTGGAATCTTTTTGTCTAAAGATTTGATAGAGTAAACAATATTCTATAGCCACGTTGAGAGTTCTCATATGTAACCCATTGAACTAGAATCTTTTATATTCCCATCCTTGGGTTCTCCGTCCATTCCACCAAAACACAAAATGAAAGATTCTAATCTAACGTCTCATATCTAGGAAAGACAGCTGTGACTGTCCCCTACGAGGAGGGTAGGTTCAGGGAGGGTTAGGTTGGATTCTGGTTTTCCGACAATCAAGGAAGGTTGCCTGAAGAATGATAGTGGGGTCCATATGACACGTGGGAAGACAGCAGAGCTTTCCTTTTGGGTCTCTATCTATGAAAAACAAGGCAAAGATTCTGATCCTACTGATAAAAGTTTATGTAGCAGCGATATTTGAAGAGGAAAAAGTCAAAAGGAGACGGTAGGGCGAAATGATGTTGTACACAAACATACATTCATTCTGTTTTCTCATAACACGTGAACCGTTGGATTCAGATACATGCGTTCGTGATATACCGAGTTAGCGGCAAGGATTCTGAGTCAGACTCTCGATTCATTGAATTGACAGCTCCGAAGTTCGGATCCACTGTCCCTTACCTATAAAGCATTGAAACTCGTAGACGCAATTTAAATTGGGAAGTGGGATATCAGATATGTATGACATCGGAGATACATGGAAATTTAATAACGGCCGGGTCAGACCCGTCTCGTAAGGACTAAGGAGATCCACATCGTAAGTTGTTTTAGGGGCCTTCAGTTCAGGGTTGACCTGCGCCCAATCCAAGCAATGATCTTAAGGATCTGTTTGGGAATCCTCATGGCTAATTAGGACGATTAATTTTTTTAGATTAGGGATGGCAATGTTCTCGGCAAATAGTATATAATAGTGTTTATATTATAGTATTAAAATATATTTAAATATTTAAATATTTTTATATTTAAAAAAATCTAATTTTAAGTAATTTATTTTTTTAAAAAAGTAATTTAAAAATGTCAAGGATTTGACTCCTTATTGAGAAATCTGTCTTTGTTGGGGATCCAGGATTGAGGATCATTTTTATCCCTGATAGGGATCGGGGTCAAGGAAAGGGATTTGTTTCAAAGTCAGAATAAGATCCAAAATTTGGTTTTCATGGGCTTTCAACCTTTATGGTTGTCTATGTGTTGGTTATTTTTGGCACGTGCGTGCAGATCTACTATCTATAAGACACTATAACCACACATTGGAAACATCTCCCATAAATGATAACATGTAAGTACGGGAAATGAATGACCACATATATTATGGCTGAACATTGAAAATATGTGGACTTATAAATCATGGCATAGAGGGGTTAAGGGGCAGAGATGGAGCATGGTGCACAAGAGGTCCATTAACCATACCTTTGATCCTGTGCCTCCATTTTTTGAGGGATGTCAAATGACCATCTCATCTACCGAATCATCGGCGTCTTCATTTTAGGACTGCTCGAAATCCATTCCCTTAATCAGTTTTGAGTCAGTTCTAAATCGTGTTATTAATTATTACAGAGGCCACTGAAAAAAAACCAATAGAATAAAAGATAAATAAATAAATAAAAGAAAAGAGACGATGAAGAATCAGCTACTTTGTTTCTTTTCCATGATCTTTGATCATGACATGTATAACAAACGTTTGTTACCATGTGCTGCTTCATGGTTTGAATCTTTGGACCAAGGAAGCTTGGCATCCTAGTTATACTTCATTGAAGATAGCATATTTCGAGCCCATGGAAAGTAAGATCCACAGTTTCCACACTAGGAAGATCCACTAACAAGCCCTTCCAAACGGGCCCTTGTCTTGGGTTTGACCTTTAGCCTCAAGCATGTAACGTAAAGATTCTGAAGGCAACCAGAAGCCTACTTTCCACCAATATCAAACAAAACTTGGCTGAAGCATCAGTGAGGTATTCTTTTAACAGTTCTTACAAAAGCACATACGCAGATAGCCTCCTTGCATGACAAGGAATATTAGAAAAAGAACACACGCAACAAATGCATTATAAATAGTATGGGTCCATTTAATTTATAGGAATAAGGGTTCCAATTCCAACAGTTTGGTTTGGTGGAATAGCATTCCCCATTTGAAGAAATGGTTCCTCCCTCTCCTTTATGAGAATTCCATTTTAGCCGATTCCAATTCTGATTCTCGTCCAGACCAAACAAATGGAAAGAATAGACCATTCTGATTCCAATTCTAAAGGCAGGGTTTAAAACCGACCCAGAACTAGAATCGTTCTGGTCAATGGTTCAACTATCTAATTCGAACGAATGGCCCATTCCAATTGAAAAAATAAAATAAATAATTACAACAAAAAATAGTCAAAACCGTTGAATGGGTCGAATGAGTGGACAGTTCGACCACTAAAGTCAACGGATCGCTGACCAGTGATCAATGGTTTTTAGCTAAAAGACTAGGTTGAGGGTGAAATGGCACCAGTTGCCTAAATGGTTCTGGCCGAATGGTCCGACTGTTCAAGTCAATAACAATTCAAAAACACTGTTTAAAGGATTCCAATTCTAACTACCAATCAAACAGACCTTGTGTTCCTAGAAATGTCAAATGGGTGGGGTAAAAGGATCGAGGTCAAGCTCACCAAATGTCTGACTTAAGAAAAGTATAAAGAGAGACTTAGAGGTTAGCTCCCTCAAAATTCCCATTGCGATGGTTGTTTAATTTATAGAAGAACTAAAGGTCTTAGTCTTTTGCCTTTTTTAGAGCCTTGTATTTGCATCAAAGTCACTCGTGATTGGTGTTGAATAAGCTGCTTTTCATGAGTTTGAAGCAAGCTGACTATTTGCGGTGGGCGCCCTCAAAATTCAATCTTATGGTTAATAAGTTAATTTATGATAAAATTCTAGGGAAACAATTTCTCCCCTTCCCACTCCTTATAAAGAATATTGTATATGGAGCCAGTGCAACCAAATTTAATATAGTTAGATGTGATTATCATATTACATGGGTACATAATGTTTTAGCTAGAAATGTCACGATGCCATTAATGACTTAGTGAACGCTTTTTAATGTCAATTTCTCTTATATAGAATAGATAATTAGATACTACCTGAATACCATAAATAAATAAATAAAACTCTTGCATAAAAATATGATGGATGATAAACGTAATAAGAAATTATTTAAACATTCATAGTTTAATAATGGAAGTGGTATTAAACAGAATTAAACAGAATGGAATGGTATACATAATTTTTTTTTTCAGAAATAGATTAATGAAAGTGGTACTAAACAAAATGGAATGGTATACATATTATTTTTTTTTTCAAATATAGGTTTCTTAGGCCTGTGTAGCCCCTGAAATAGGTCAAATTCCCAAAGCTCTATTATTTAGTGTATCGATGATGACCCATTAATACGATAAGTAAGTATTACCCGATGCATGCATGATGACATTTTTGAACTTTGTTTCTATCTGCACTTAATTGCTCATTCGTATATAGGAATGGCAATGGTGCGGGTTCAGGGTGGGGCTCGTCTCTAATTCTTAAATTAACCTTCATCTCTGTCCTCGATTTTAATCAGGGATAAAGTTTATCCTCCATCTCTGATTCCCAACAAGGATGGGTTTCCTGTGGGGACCCGAATCTCCGAAATATTTTCAGATAATAGTATTTTTTTTAAATAATAAAAATTTTAAATTATAAATAATATTTTAAATATGTTTTGGTATACATATATATAATATAAATAATGTAATAGTATATTTAATATAAATAGCATTTAATATATATATATATATATATAATCGGGGGCGGAGACCTCAATCCCCATTCCCATCCTTGGCCCCATCAGATCTGGAAAATTGGGTCCCCGTCGGGGATGAGAAAAATTGTGATCCCTATTAATGTAATGACTGATCATCTATGCATGCAAGTGTAACCCAATGTCTTGAACCTCCAAGTTGAAACTGGCTAATCAGACATTAATAACAATAATTCTCATTTATCGTATTTATTTTGTTCAAATATAATTAATATATAATTTAATATTAGAGACATGTCCATATTTTTGTATTTTTCTTAACATTTTATTGGTTTTTTATCATTTTATTATTTTCATTTATAATATAATTCACACTTTCACAGGTGTATGACCAAGCACAGCTGCACAGGGTTCACCCACTCGTATGTCATAGCTCATTTTTACTATTAAAATTATAGTTATATTCTTTTATTATGCATGCGTCGGTGTACATTCATGCAACGCAGACCCAGAATTGCAGATCTATGGTTGCATGCATCACAACATCAGGCTTATCTTAATTCCATTTAAAGAAATGTTAATTTGTCATGGTCATTACCTAGGTCCTATGCAACGCCTAAAAAAAAAATCAATGATCCTGGTAGCGTGGTCACTGCAAATGCATATGAACTTTGTACAAGTTTTGTACACGCCAGAGGGGCGGCACAAACAACAACCAAACGAAAGAAACCATATAACCAAAAGACCCAAAATAACGGGCCCAGCCCAATGCCCAGTCTATCATAAGGCCTAGGCCCAAGAAACTGAAAAACACAAGATGCCGAACGTAATGCATACACTCGGGATCTATCCACAAACTGTTTCCAAATGCCGGTCTAGTGTCAAGTGGGTCGGGGATGTGGGAACAGTTGGGCTGTGTTTGGTTTGAAGGAAAAAGTAGGGAAAAGAAGGGAAATGTAAGAAAATTTTTAAAAATTTTATATAAGTTTCTCTATATTTTCCTTCCTTTCTTTATCTTTTCCTTCAAACCAAACATAGCCTTAATGGGTAGGACTGTAGGAGATCTTAGCTCAACACAACAATCAGTGGCAAGCCATTTGGGATCTCCTATCCATAAGAACCTTACCCACGCTTACCCACATGATCCATAACTTTGCTTGGCTACAAAAGTATCAATTCA